TGCTGAGGGATTTCAGCCGTCGCCCGTTGTTGTAAAATAAAAATACTGCAAATCAGATGAACCCATGTAAAAATTAAAAAAAAACCTGATGTGTCGAAGTATAATTTTGCCACAAAAGCGCGCGCCAACATCTGCGCCCCAGGTGCTGAATGCGCTTACTTAACGAGCTCCGCGACTGTAGCCGAATTCATTTGAATTTTTGTGGGCGAAAACTTGGTCTCCTTTCAATAGTCTTTTATGATAAGGCGAGGGTTGGCAAAGCGCTAGAAGACAGCACTTACGCATTATCCGAACTTAGTCCCAGAGGACCTTCCTTTGGACGGATATCGACTGATTACCAACTCACAATAATAAAAGCAAGCTGCGACTAACTAGGTGTGGAGTACCTAACAAAATTTGTGCAGGTTTCTGCCTAATCGGTCGGATCATTAGAGGGTTCGTAACTACTTAACTGTGTGTCTCTGGTGTTTTGTAATTTTCTCAGATATAAATCGCAAGCCTGAACTTAATTAGCCTACATAAAGTTTTACAGACGCAGACGGAAAATTGCTAGGAGTTTTGGAATCTAAATCTGTCAGATACGGCGGAATAACTGCGTATTATTTGTTAATCGCCCTCAGGCAGTAAGTGGCCCACATATGTTACATGATTAACCATAGTGGCAACAGAGGTAAAATCTATACGCGTCTTTTGACGATATTCTGTCACAGCACGCCATAGCTGCGAGGGATTCGACTCATCAGCGAGGCCCTCAGCAGTCCCACGGGCTTTCTGGTAGATATTCCTGTTTAAAACCAGCTGCTTTCTCACAAATTAATGTGCTTACTTGGAGTTAATACGTCTGGACCAAGCTTTTCATTTGCGCTTACAAAGCCCTGTGCAGAACGATTTAGTTCAGGCTAGCGATCGATTTCTGGGATAAATAGAGTGGCAATTTTAAAACGTGAATGCTTATCAGGTGGCACACGGAGCGCTTGGGGACGCACTGATAAGCGGAAGTCCTTGCAGTTGTGTCATCTGGCGGAAGAATATCGACAAAACAGGTGTATTAGTACCTATACTGCCAGGATAGTGTATCGTTTAACTCCTTTCCATATCAGCGTCAAACGTTCCCTGCAAACACAACACAAACTCAGACCGCAGATATAGACTAGTGGGGTATTTCCCAGTTAATCGGGGAGTCATCCATTTTAAGGAAAACCAACGTGCCTCAATGACGAAGTCCTGCGCCAAGCTACAAGACGGCACATATTTTCATGGCATAAGCATGACACTAACCCTTATCCTAACAACTCACTCTTAGTAAAAACTCTAACGAGAATAGGAACCGTCTGGTTACATCAGTAGAATGCGCAAAATTCCCAGAAGATAAATGCTATCGTGTTTTAACTCT